TGAACCAATTCAACAACACCTGTCTGTTCCGTAAGCTAGGGTTGGACAGAACAAAGGCAAGGAATGTCCAATTTGATTGGAAAAAGTTTGAGAATTCAAGTTAGAGATTGAGGGTTCTAATGAACACAAAAGCTCAGCCGAAACATGAACCGAAAAAACTGAACCGTTTCAACAACACCTATCTGTTCCGTGAGCTACGGTTGGACAGATCAAAGGCAATGAGTGTCCAATTTGATTGAAAAAAATATGAGAATTCAAGTTAGAGATTGAGGGTTCTAATGGACACAAAAGCTCTCCAGAAACATGAACCAAAAAAACTTAACCAATTCAACAACACCTGTTTGTTCCGTGAGCTAGGGTTGGACAGATCAATGGGAAGGAGTCTCCAATTTGATTGGAAAAAGTATGAGAATTCAAATTAGAGATTGAGGTTTCTAATGAACACAAAAGCTCTGCAGAAACATGAACCAAAAAAACTAAAGCACTTCAATAACACATGTCTGTTCCGTGAGTTAGGGTTGGACAGATGAAAGGTAAGGAGTTTCCAATTTGGTTGGAAGAAGTAAGAGAATTCAAATTAGAGATTGAGGGTTCTAACGGACACAAAAGCTCTGTAGAAACATGAACCAAAAAAACCTAACCATTTCAACAGCACCTGTCTGTTTCGTGTGCTACGGTTGGCTAGATCAAAGAAAAGGAGTGTCCAATGTGATTGGAAAAAGTATGAGAATTCAAATTAGATATTGAGGATTCTAATGGACACAAAAGCTCTGCAAAAACATCAATCAAAAAAACTGAACTGATTCAACAACACCTGTCTGTTCCGTGTGCTATGGTTGGCTAGATCAAAGGCAAGGAGTGTCCAATTTGATTGGAAAAAGTATGAGAATTCAACTTGGAGATTTAGGGTTCTGATGGACACAAAAGCTCTGCAAAAACGTGAACCAAAAAAATGAACCGATTCAGCAACACCTGTCTGTTCCGTGCGCTAGGGTTGGACAGATCAGAGGCAAGGATTGTCCAATTTGATTGCAAAAT